TAATTATAGCTCATCACCCAGCCATGCCGAGATAGATGCTGCCCAGCAGAGCCAAGATTGTATTAGTATTTATTAGAGCTCATCAGCCAGCCATGCCCAGCTGCAGACTGCCAGGGTAACGCCCAGAGTGTTGTTGTGAATGGGAGAAGCGACTCTTCGGGATAATACGGGTCTCTGAAACATTTATTGGGTAAATATAATTGTAATAAATATCTTCGGAGTAATTATAATAAAAGGTTTATGTACATTGGTTTTGTTTCAAGTCGAACACAAAACTGCTGTATTTATTAAACAAATAATTTGATGATAATGCTGCTGCTGCGTTGGCTTTGGTGTATAAGCACAATATTAGACAACAACAAAAACTCGGCACATTCGTCAATAAACCAGTTGTCTCAAAAAAGGGAAAGTACATCATGCACAAAGTTTCGGTCAATTATCCTTATTCATAGCAGGTCAATTGAGAAATGACCAGAGAGGATGCAAATGTAAAAATGCTCTTACTCAACTTGTGTGGTTGCATAGCCTACTTATGGAATGCATCTGTAAATCAAACAATTGATCACGATAGTATTTAGGGAGGCAGAGCATAGTATGTATGCATGTTTTAACTTCTTTCGCACCGTACGTAGCCAACCGTGCCAGTCGGAGGTGCGCTGTGCGCTATTACGCAGAGCGCGCGTCTGATGACAAAGTAAGAATTGTGTGAACACGCTGTAAGACTAGAGCTGCAAACTCCACCGTCGAATTGGAGGGGCTTTCCATCTCTCCGTCAATTATCACCGAGGTGCAGCAACAACCTAGCAACAGGTTCCATTCGGTGTTTTGTAAGAAGCGGGGAGGAGGTTATCGAAAGCCAATTTAGTGAACAGTAAGCAGAGGAGGGGGGCGCAGGGCTCGCCCCCCCCCCCCCCACCAACGCCTTCAAACTTAATCGGAAGTATCGCATCTGACACTGGGTGCCCCCCCCCCCCCCCACAAAGCACGGGGCCCGGGGCAATCGCCCCGATTCGCCGTAACTCTAGGGGACGGCTCTGATAGTTCGTCGTCATCATCATTATCATCATCATCATCATATGCAATGATCAATCCACTGCTTGATGAAGCCCCCCCCCTCCACCCGCCCCCTCCAAAATCGTCGCCATCTCTCACAAAGCGTTTGCGATGGTAAACAAATCCACCTACGAGCACCTGCAATCGTATTTCATCGCTCCATCTTCCCGGTGGATTTGTTCTCATGCATTGGGCGCCGTGGTGGCGAAATGTTAACAACCGCGCGTGATATGCAAGCAGGTCGTGGGTTCGATCCCGACCATGTGACGCCAGCTGCATATTTGGAGGTTTGATGTCTGTCTCCCTCCCCGTGATCGCGTGGAGTTTTCTCCGGGTGCTCTGGGGTTTCTCTCTCCACATTTAGAATCAACATCACGCCTTCAGAGTATTTAGCTACTTTACATTGCCACGTGATACGCCACTTCGCTCAGCTATCATTTGTGGGAGGATCACTTCTGAAAAACGGGGCTATATAGCTCAGTCGGCTTTACCTGGTGGTAACATTTAAAAGTATATTCTCCGGCACAATTAAAATTGCGGCACAATTCGCATGACGAGGATGGTTGTAGTCACCAGCATAACGTCGTACTCGATTTGTAAATGTCGTGGATTTACTCTCCAACGTACAGCCGGTGTGCTGAAGTAGTAACTAATTGGCACGGTCTCGATTTAAAGCTTTCGTGACTGCAGGGATTCATCTTCTTGGTTATTATGTTTTATTTTTATTATTTTATTACTTCCCTTCTACGTGACTTTACCGAAAGAACCAAGAAGATAATTGGCACGGGTTTTTAAGTGACAAACCTTACTCATTGGCTGTGTCGGGTGGTGGCGGGTTTAACGACACGTTTATAGTTACGCGATCTAACCCAAAACACATTTTACTATGAATATAGTTTAAGAGTTTTAAATAGTCTCGTGTCCTTTGCCTGGGGGCTCCATCGTTCGGTCCTGACCACCTTCCACGATGCCTGACCTACAGCGAAGTGTCCAGCCCAAATCCATAACACGTTTATTTTGAAATCTTGACTTAAGTTTTCGTGACTGCAGGAATTCATATTCTTTGGGTCTTTCGGTAAAATCACGTAGATAGGTTCAAAGAAAATAACAGAAATAACAAAAAACTACTCGTAGTTTTGGGTTAGCTCGCGTAAATATAAAAACTACTCGTAGTTTATTATTATTTTCTTTGAACCTATCTACGTGACTTTACCGAAAGACCCAACGAATACGTTTGTTTTTTTTGTTTTCTTATTTGGACGGTAGAAATGACATCTTCAATGTGCGTGAGCAACAGACGGCTGCGCCAATGCCGTCGCGTTGTGAGACGCGGCCGCTCCATTGCGGATCACGTCCGTGACTCGCATCGTCGCAGATGGCACGGAGAGTTAAGGGGCAGCATTGTGCCCGGCCCGCCTGAGACTCTCTGCAAAGTTACTCGGGGTAAACAGCGGCACAATAGTGCCTTATATCTCAAAAAAAAAGTTGCTGCTTCAGTGCACTTAGACAATAGATCAACAGGTTAAGGCAAAACAAATAGTCTTTTTTTATCTGGTGTTGAGAGGGAAATATAATCTGGACGTTTCCGCTCACTTGGCAGCGCTTAGTTAAAATATAAGTTTTAAACTGCAATTAGTTGTATATATGTATATACGAGGATGAGCTGCAATAGATCTCGTTAGAGCTCTCGGTAACTAATGTTCAGACGTGTTGATAATCTTAAAACTATATAATTGGTGAGCACTCTTAAAAACCCGTCCAGAATTTTCATTGAGACATTGTTCAGTTGATATTTCAAATACTATTACACGTGAGATCGACCTACTTGCACAGGATATAGGCCTATATATAAGGCTTATGATGAGTACTAATGTATTCTTTGTTCGTGGTTTAAATATGAATCCCGGCTTTTATAAATACATTGACCTCGTTTCGTTAGTGACGTTTGTTGGTACACGTCATAATAAAGTAGCCGCAATTGGCACGAACACTGCCGAATAACAGATGTAAACATCTTTAGAGAGTATGCCTCGACCAACGTTTCGGACAACGGTCCTTATTCAGAACGGATGATTCGGTGATGCTGCTGTTGTTGCTGCTGCGTTGTTAGTGGTGCACGAACACAAACAATAGAATAACAACAATAATAATATTATATAAGAGCCGCCACTTTGTCGAGATGTCAACTACCTCGCTGGGTATACAGGAGGTCGTGGGTTCGATCCCGAACCCTGACGCATGTCTATTTGGAGTTTGCATGCTCTCCTCGTTGGCCCGTGTATTTATCTCCGGGTCCTCACAATTTTTGCTCCGCATTTAGAAACACGCGTTGAGAGCATTTGGCTGCTGCTCGACATTCCCGCGTGATGATAAGCCACTTCGTTGAGCTATCATTTGTGATTGCCAGGTTGCTTCTGAAAGAGAGCTACATTGCTCTCCCCGTGGTCGCGTGGATTCTTCTCCAACTCCTCCGGTTTTTTCCTCCGAAATTCAGAATCGACATTACGCGTTTAGAGCATTTGGCTGCTATGAATGTCCACACGATGATGAGCCACTCGGTTGAGCTATCATCTGTGGTAGCCAGGTCGCTTCTGAAAACAAGCTATATAGCTCAGTGGACCTTACCTGGTCAAATAAGCATTAATTTAGTTTCAATAAATTACATTTACAAATCTCCGCCTTTCCCCAATCCACGAAAACCACGGTCCATCATTCGCCAGTAACACTGTGTGGCCGTAAAATGAAAGACAAACATGACAACCGCTGACGATTCGAGCAATGGCCCTCTTTTAGTTTTACTTGCTGTCAAAGGAGACATATTCTCTGAAACGTCGCTCTCTTACATAGTTGTTTTTTTCCTATTAAGGTCACAGTGCTGTTGACGAACGCGTAGATTTGTTTATGTACTCCTAAAAGAAAAGAGATATAAATGTAACTTCACGCTACAGAATATGTATCCGTTTTGAATGAGATGACGACAAATTTGCCGAAGCGTCATCTCGCTCATGTTTAAATGACTAAACGGCACATTGCAGTTGTGTTCATGGCAGCAATAGCGAGAAGCTTTCACAACAACGTAGTTGCTCGCCTTTGCCGCGCAGAAGCATTCACTTATTATTGGTTTTATTTTGTATTCAAATCAAGAGAGGGCGAAAAAATATTTACACGGGGTTAATATACACCCCCCTGTATCAAGACGCTTCAATATATTAAATAATATCAAATACGTTTTGCTTCATTGTATCAGGCAAGGCCCACCAAGCTACACAGCTCTATGTGGCCAATTAGATCACTGAGCGGGCTACTTGCTGTGGGTAAGACACCGGAGTTCCCGAAAAAAAACTAAACCACCAAAACGAGAAGATAACGCCACCGCTGTGAATGCCCTCTCGTTAGACCAGTGTGAGATTCACGAATGTCTCCGTGATCCACCAGTCGCTGGCTCCAAGGCGCTGTCTCACACAGGCGCAAGCCACCGCACCCGGTAATTGCCAGCTGCTGCAGCCAATGCTTAGCCGGGCAGTGGTGTGTTTAGTTCTGCACGTGGCTGCCCCTGTGGTCAATCCTCAGCACCGTGGAGGCAGCAGCGAGGGTTGGTGGGTCGCCGCACACACACATGTTGCTGTGAAACTCCCTTCCTGATACCCAAGGGCGTCCAGGAGGTGCCGTGCCCCTGGGCTCGCCAACAGAAGGCGGTACAGAAAGTGGACTAATCGCCATCGGTTTCTATCTTTACGGAGACAGAGTGTTTTCGCCACCTCGCGCAAGGCGTGGGGTTTTCTCCGTCCACTTGTGATAATAAACAACAATCATTCATCGACTGAAACATGTTTTTTTATAAAATGTATAAAGCCGCGATGCAGCAGCAGCACCCTCTTGACAAAGGCTGCATACGTGACGCTAATTATTTCCGTTGTGAACGCACGTCCGGGTGCTTGGCCACTCACCGAGGGCCGAGGACATGTTGGCGAGGCCGTGGTTGAGCGCTCCGCTGCTGTAGGGCGGACTGTAGTAGGGCGCCGCGTGGTGGTGGTGGTGGTGGTGGCCATATGGGCCCATCCTCTGGTCGGAGAAGCCACCGTCTGCCGGGCCGCCGAGCACGGCGGCCCTCTGGTAGTCCATCTGCGCCCACGTCGGATAGAGCGGCGACGGGGTGACCTGGCACTCGGCGGGCGAGCGCTGGTACTGATAGGCCGAGGGCGCGGTGCCGACGGGATGCGGGTGATGGTGGTGGTGCGGGTTGTGCAGGTGCTGCTGGTGCCTGCCCGCCATCAGCGCCGGCACCGAGGTCGGCAGGGAGACCGGCAAAGAGGCCTGCTGCTCGGACCCCCCGTGGCCGCTCAGCGATTGTGGAATGTAGCGCAGCGGGTCGAGCGTCGGGGAGTCGCGGTCGAGGGCCGATGGCGTAGTCGGCATCGACACTTGGTCGGCGTGGAGCGGATAGGAGCGCGCGCCGAAGATCGGCTGCATGGAGCCCGGCCCGGGGAAGCTCAGGTTCCCGTGGAAGACCATCCCCATGGGAGGTCGCGCGGGATCCTGCAGCAGCCCTACCTTCTCACCAGGGATCTCTGCGCCTTTGTAGTCCTGATCCATTCACTCGCACTGCCGCGCACAGCGAGACGCTGCTCGCCTCGCCGTGTCCGTGACTTGCGAACGGAGGGTTCCCCGCGCGCGAACGCAAGGGTTCTGTTGTTTCTTTCTCTTTTTTGGTAACTCTTCAAAAAAAAACCCCTAAACACTCCACGAGCTTCTCTTCTGCTTCCTCTCCCTCCTCCTCCCGGAGTTGGTGGTGCGTAAGTTGCGGTGCGGCTCCGTCACGGAGTTGAGGCTTCCTTCGCGGCCGTCCCTATTGATTCGCGCGGCGCGGCGAGAGATGCCGCTCGCCTGTGTCTGGTCAAAAATTGACTCGAAACCGAGAGAGTGACGCGCAGAGCAAACACCGCGTCCGACTAAGAGTCGAGCAACGGGGGCAATTCGTCACTGAGCGCAATTTGCAGGAACCTTCATTCCCACCGCCGGCGCTGAGATCTCTTTCAAAATTGCCGAGCGAGTTTTTTTTTTTTACGACCTGGCGCGACTTCAAAGAGCGAATATAACGGCTGCGGCGACTTACCTACTCCGAGATGGAAGCAAATGTCAAGGACAGTCGCCGCAGCTTTGCGCACGCGCGCGCGCACGCACGCACGCACGCACGCACCTGAGCCGAGATAGGCGGAATGGGTCACGCAGATCAGTAAAGCGACAGAACACACACAGAGAGAGAGAGAAAAAAACACCCTCACCGAGTTCCGCCTCCGGCAGAGGGCAAAGGCGAAACGTTTATACGCGGGGGTTTTGCCTTTACAGCGGACTTCCATCCCACGGATGCAGGAACGAAGGCGAGGTGAGGTGGAGTTCACGCGAATGTTCATCGGTGAATCGACGCGCTCGGGGACACTTTGCGTGCACGCGCGCGTTACCGCCGGCGGTGTTGAAGTTAACGCTTATGCTGTATCTTATCATCATCATCATCATTGTTGTTGTTGTATTATTATTCTTGTTTCGTTGGAAACTTCTGGCGGTGCTCGGAATGAAAATGTTGTTGCCTGTTGGGGTTGTTGTTGTTGTTGTTTGTTTGTGAAGCACATCGGCGCCGCTTGCTTACTGGGAGACGTGAATCTGCGTGAAGGTTGCGCTTTGCGATGAGTTTTGTAATATTGCGCACGGACATTCACGACGGTGGCGATGTGAAATCATCGTGGTGGTGGTAGTGGTGATGATGATCACGTGTAACCAATAGTAGCGCGTGCAATCGTGATAAATGCAGAATAAGTGTGTCTGTACAACTATGACCGTGGCGGCGATGATGAACAGTCTGGACGAGAATTAACGCACTCGCATGCTGAGTACGATTATGATGACGATTATGATGATGATATCGATTATGATGACGATTATGACGACGATGATGATGCTTATGATGACGACGATTACGATGACAATTACGATGATAATTACGATGACGATTATGACGCCGATCATTGCCTTCTTCCACAGGTATTTAGCATCGCTCCACCGAGGACCCCCAAACAGTAGCGTGACGATTTACGGTCAATTAAAACCGACTCCAAACACGACGGACGGTTAAGCGACTCCTCACCCCGCCTCCCTCCCTTGCGGAGGTGATCTCGGGGCCACGCCGCTGCGTCTGAAATCATAAAATGCAATCAATCATAAACCCAAGAACAGGAAGGAGGAGGAGTAGGAGGCGGATAACAAGAAGTTGGAGAAGTCTTTTTTGTTTGTTTTTTTACTGCCACGGCGCACACCCATCGCCCTCCCGAGCCCAGTCTTGTAACGCTGTCATAAAATCCATCAGCGAGCAAGGTAAGAGTCATGCGGACAAATATTTAGCCACCGGGCCATAAAAAAAAGAAAGAAACTCCCCCCGACCCAAACTCCACTCCCTCCCGTTCACCCACTCACAGAGAACCGGCGGCTACCGGCGCTCGCTCGGGATTAATATTTAAAACGGGAGCTTCAAAGAGCGCAGGGTGAAAAACCGCGACTTTTTTTTGCCGGTGCAGCCAAACACCCCCCGCCCCCCCCTCCTCCACCACCCCCACCTCCCACCCCCCCCTCCTCCACCCGCCACCCCCCGGATTGGCGAGAGAAGAGCCCAGCGTGGCTCTGCTTGTCGCACGGTAGAGCGACGCTCATAAAACCTCGTGGCCTTCCCAAACACACACACAAAGACAAATATCCCCACCCAGCCCCCCCGGGTGTAGCCTCAATGGACATTTGGGGCAAGTGCTGGTGAGCGTGCAGCAACCACGCTGTGAAGGCCAGCAACCGGCACACAACCGTGTGGCCAACATACACAGCAGCCCGACCGACCGCCCGCCTTTGTCTCTCCAGTGAAGATGTTTACACGCAGTACCAACGTGCTCACATTTGAGGCTGAGTCAGCCTAGCGGAGGCCCAGGACCGCTTCAGATAAATCGCCACCGGTTGTTTGTGGCCGCCGTGAGCGGGAATCGAACTCGGTGGCCGGGTTACGTGGCGCGCGCCGGCACTGCCGCTCCCTCATACAAAGACAAAGACCCCCCCCCCCCCGTGTAGCCTTAACAATACTTTTGGGGCAAGTGCTGTTAGCGAGTAGCACTGATGAAGGTCGCCACGGCACACGACTGGGCCGCCTTTGTCCTCCCCCATACACACGCGCACACACGCGCACACACACACACACGCACACACACACACGCGCACACACACATGCACACACACACGCGCACACACACACACACGCACACACACACACGCACACACACACACGCACACACACACGCGCACACACGCGCACACACACACACACACGCACACACACACACACACACGCGCACACACACACACGCACACACACACGCACACACACACACGCGCACACACACATGCACACACACACGCGCACACACACACACACGCACACACACACGCACACACACACACGCACACACACACGCGCACACACGCGCACACACACACACACACGCACACACACACACACACACGCGCACACACACACACGCACACACACACGCACACACGCACACACACACGCGCACACACGAGCACACGCGCGCACACACACACACACACACGCACACACACACGCACACACACACACACGCACACACGCGCACACACACACGCACACACACACACACACACGCGCACACACGAGCACACGCGCGCACACACACACACACACGCACACACACACGCACACACACACACACGCACACACGCGCACACACACACGCACACACACACGCACACACGCGCACACACGAGCACACGCGCGCAGCCCGCGTGTAGAATGATTGCGGCGAGTGCTTTACTGCGTTAGTGAATCAGAGTCAGACTATGTATCTTCTTGGTTCTTTCGGTAAAGTCACGTAGAAGGGAAATAATAAAATAATAAAAAATAAAACATAATAAAGTAATATAAAAATAATATTTAAAAAATCAGACTATGTATGTAGACAGGAGGAATCCGATGAGCGACGATGCTCTTTTACACAGACGTCTGTGAAACGGAGCGCGGCGGGAGTGTTGTGGACAATAGCCCCAACAGGACAATGGGTGTTGATTGTATTTTGGGACTAAAAATTTCACTCGCCCAAGATGAAGAAATAAAAAGAAGAGGGTGCAAAGTGGTCAGATGGCTGACGTCGTGTGTGGCCTGGAGTCGAACCCGGCTGCTTCTGGACCGTGGAGCCGCGAGCTACTGCCTCGCCGCTCGCTCTCACACACGTGTGCCATGAAGAAGGGTCATTGTTTGAAACGTCGTCGATTTGAATTATATATTGTTTTTTATTTGAGGCAGTGTTTTTCACAAGTTGTTGTTGAGCTTTTGCATTTAACAAAGACAAAGATCCCCCGTGTAGTCTTAGCAGGCAGTTGGGGCAAGTGCCGAAACGGCACACGACAGGGTGGGTGGCCAGCACCACGCCAGGCCACGTCTGTCTCCCCCAGTGACGATGTTTACTGCACACCGCACCAGGTCCTCATTTGAGGCCGAGTCGACCTAGTGCAGGCCCAGGACCTGTTCAAATAATCGTCATCGATGTTGGTGGCCGCGAGCGGGAATCGAACTCCGGTTCGACAGGTTCGTAACGCTCCGTGCTAACCGCCACACGACGGCTCCCCACCAACACCAACACACAGCTGCCACTCGCCAGGAAGCGACGGCGACGTCACCACGGCTCCTGTGCCAGGCCAGGTGCACTTTTAGGCCACGCGCAGTGTCGAAGGCTCGCTGATAGGAGGTCTCGGGTCTGAGACGACCGGTAGAATGCACCACCAGCTGTACCCCCTACCGTGCCAACTTGCTGTAGTTTAGCTGCCCGGCGCTCCGCTCGTTGTTGTGAGCGTCGCTCCTCTGCCCTCAGTTGTTGTTAGAGGTCGACTGCCTCCAACTGCCCAGTAGCAGCTTCCTTCACGTTCCCCACACACCCTCGTGCACAATCACGGACATAAAACAAACCCCGCTGCAGGCAGAGCCGCCGCACGGACGGCTGGGGCGAGTGAGCACCTTACTCAGACAAAGACAAAGCTCCCCCGTATAGCCTAGGGCAGACTGTGGGGCAAGGGAGCAGCCTACTCAGACCAACACAAAGACAAAGCTGCCCCGTTGAAGCCTTGGGCAGACTGATGGGGCAAGTAGTGTTAGCTAGTGCCTATGATGGCCTGCAAGACACACGGGTAGTTTCTGTGGCCATCACAGCTAACAGAGAGAGAGACACACACAAACATACACACGCACACACACACGCCTGACGCACACACTCACTCAGCCGTGTAGGGACGTCGCGCCACTTATGGGGACGCTACAAAAAAAACTGCCACTTTTAACTCCTCCTTTAAAGGGTCACGTAAATGTCATGCAAATCCTTGCGGCTTTGCGCCGTAAAATTTTAGATTTTACAAAAAAAAAATCACCATTCTGCGTTTGCTTTTAAAACGAATGGCCAACAAACAAAAGAGACGCCAGGTCGCGCTCGCGACAGAGGCAATTCCGTCGACGCAAACGTCTCGGCGAGGTCGATCTCATCCCGCTGGTCAGCTCAAGGAGACTGCCGAACCGCGCAATGAGAAGACGAGACAAAGACCCCCCGTATAGCCTCCGCAATACTTTTTGGGGGCAAGTGCTGTTAGCGAGTAGCACCTACGAAGGCACGCACGTCCCACGGAAGAGGGTGGGTTGAGGGGGGGGGGCGATGGATGTCCGCACGTCGCGCCAGGTGCTCGTGTGAGGCTGAGCCGGCCTGGGGTGGAGGCCCAGAAACCGGTTCGGATCATCGTCACTGGGTGTTGGTGGCCGCCGTGAGCGGGAGTCGAATCGAGGAAGACACGAAGACAAAGATGCCCCGTATAGCCTGTAACAGACTGTTGGGGCAAGTGCTGTTGGTGAGCACCTATGAAGGCCGGAGCGGTACACGAGGCGGTGGGCTGATCGGCACCACGCCCGACCGCCTTTGTCTCCCCAGTAGCGATGTTTACACACCGCACCAGGTACACAT